ACAATTTATTTCTCACTCATCGAAAATCAGTTTTGAGAAAACAAATATACCACGAGTATCTACTCGGAACGTATAATTTTTCTACAATATTAAATTCAACTCAAATTAAATATTTAGCCATAAAAAATTCAGTCAAAACCGGGTCAAACCCAAGTTTTATAACTGATTTTCCAACACTTAACAACTTTACTTGTAACTGGCCTCAATGTTCTAGCTTCGTTATTAATATTAGCTTCCCCAACAAAAACAAAAACAAAAACAATGGAGTTCAACTTCAACACTATGGTAAAGCACGTCGATCACGACAAACATCTCAGCAAAACCGAGCACCTGCGGCTGGCTCTCCACCGAAGTAGGAAGAGGCTGCAATGGCTCCAAAAAGTATCCACCACTCATAGAAGAAGCCCCCCCATTGACGTTGAAGCCCTCACTGGCTATAGTGGCGACGACGAGTATTTAGCATATCTCTTCATCGACACTTCGGCGGTACCTATCCCGGTCATAATCGACACGGGCAGCGACCTAACGTGGACCCAATGCGCACCCTGCGATAACTGTTCCGCACAGCCGACTCCCTTATTTGACCCTGCGAAATCCACCTCGTACGTAGCCTTAAAATGCCCAAATAAGAAGTGCAAATTGTACAAGTCTGATGGCTGCAATAAACGTCTGCCTGGCACCACGTGCACGTACAACCGCACGTACGGAGATGGCAGTAGAAGCCGAGGCGACCTGGCCACCGAGACCTTCTGGTTCGAGGGCGTCCCGGTACCCAGAGTCCTATTCGGCTGCGCATTTCACAGTTACGGTAGTGTAGTAGGTAGAGGCACGGGGATCTTGGGCCTGGGCCGATGGGATGACAGTATCGTCTCCCAACACGACGTGCACGCGTTCTCCTACTGTCTGCCCACGTTCGACTCCAATGGGACCGGCCGTCTCTTTATGGGTTATGGGGCCCGCGCGCCCCCGGGTGCAGCCACCACGCGGCTTCTCAGGTACCCAGGCGCTCTCAACAGCGGCTTTTACTATCTCCGTCTCCAGGGGATCACTATGAGTGGGGTCCCCATCCCCATCAACTCCTCCTCCGCGTTCAAAGGGAGAAAGGACGGGTCGGTGGGTCTGATCATCGACTCGGGAACAACGATCACGCAACTCGAGAGGAGCACGTTC